CCTCCTGAAAGATCCAATTAAAATCTGGCTATCATATTCAGAAGGATAAAACAAAAATCTCCAGTCAAAGACAAAAAGTCAGGTTTTAGATCAGATTGAGAAAGATAAATAAGATAGGGCAGCTTATGACCATCACAAATGATTTTTCAAACAACCAATTCAAGATCAACAATCTTCAGTCATCAGAGTTGAAAGTAGAAAGCATCTATGGCAGAGGTTTACTGGATTAAAATGACTACCTATTCATATGACCTTTGTACTTCTTGTAAAGATCAATCAAATCAGTTCTCTCTGACTTGGATCCTCTGTAATTGGCTTTAAACTCTTCAATATAAGCTTTTGTACCTACACAAGCATTTGTGTTGTTCACCTTATAACAGGAAATATATCAAGTTATTTACATATCTTTCTGGGAGTTTTATACAAGAAATAGACCTTTTTGTACATAGTCCGGAGAAGTCTGTAACACCCCTAAAAAAATACATAAACCGAAATTCAATGATGAGAGCACAAAGCATAAAATAAAATTTAACCAACAAAAGAAATAGTATRGCGGTTACAATCCGGCTAATCGAGATGATAAATAACAACCTATTAATCTAGAACATTCTAAATCTAGATTAAAGACGGGGATTTCTATTASTCTCCAAAAAGTCGAAATATCCAAAAACGCAACGCGCAAGAGAAATAAAGGCTAAAATTACAAAGAGTAATTCACGAACCAACGCTCCTCTCAACCCTTTAGAGCCCCACCACTAAAAGAGCCTAAAAAGTAAATATAACAAGAAAGGAAGAGGGTTAGGCTTACGCCTAGTGAGTCMAATCAATAACATAAAGGTAACTATAAGATCTTTGTGTGAATGTAAATATATATGCATATTTATAGATGGGCGACGTAATTTTTAAACGACAAGTAAAGCAGTTAAACCAMAATATCACGCGAATGGGTCAAAACATCCGAAGATGACGGGGGAGACCCGATTTACCGTTCATTATGACAGACACAAAGTAAGTCATAGATCAACGTTATAGAGCATCACTTACCGGTATAAAACCATCGACATCAACCTAAACCGGTCATGTAGTCGGTCGTGATCATAAGCTCTTTACCTCGGTAATTACACAATAATCACAATGCCTATTACCGAGTAAAAGTGAGAGGATGATTTGGTGATTACATAATAATCACAATGCCTATCACCAACTTATACCATCCTTCACACAAATGCAATGAAACAACTTCATACCCATAAACTTAACACCTTAAAGTGCTCAACTTGAATACGTACCATAAGCATAATGGCAATCATTTATCGATAAGATTTTGCATGTGTCAGAACTCAAACGAAAAATGTCCAGCTTATCATTAAAGGACTCCAAAGCAAGAGCGATAGAGTTTTAGTATTTAGTGGCCAACAACGCTTTGAAATGGGTAATTTACCAAGTGATTAAGACTATTTACCCAAACTCAACCAATCATTAAAATGGGATTACTCAAGCTCACTCTTTAGACCCATACGTTTTCATTTCATTTAACAAGTAAGCACATGGAATTTAGGCATAAGGTAAGCAAAATACTCCTTTTCAATTAATATAAAGTTTCCTATTAAAATGATCAAGATGAACTCACCTGAAGGGTTTAGTAGAAACCCCACTTTCTCGGGATTAAATCGGCAGACGCAAGGGAGGTAATCAGCACAACAGACTGTTGTTTGCTGTTTGGCGAATGACAGCAAGGTTCGCGTTGCAGGTAGCTGTTCGGGCAAAGAATCACTAAGAAAACAGCACCGTATAGGTGCTGTTTGCTGTCCAGTGGAGCGCAGCAGGTTTGTTGCCTGCTGTTTGGTGAAGGAAAACATAGAAAGAAAACGCAGTAACAGCTGCTGTTTGGGTTACGGGGTGCAACGAAGGGGAAAACAGCACAKCAATGGTGCTGYCTGCGTTCTGCTGTTCGAAAGAGAAAGGGCACAACTGCCCCGTCTTCTTGCTGGTGCTGATTGGGTAAAGGAAACATAGAGCAAGGCTGCAACGACTACTGYTGCTGCTGCTGTATCTAAGGGACGACCGAAATGCGCAGGTGGCACCCGCAGATGCTGCTGGTCTGAGGAAAYGCGCAGGGGAAAAGTGGAGAATCAGCACAGCAGAAAAGCTGCTTGYTGTTTGGGCRAATGGAGGCGAAGAAACARCTTARCGAAGCTGCTGTCTGCTGCTGGCTAATCGAGAAGGACGCAATGGCTCTGCTCCTTACGGCTGCTGTTCGGGCGAGAAGACGGAGAAAACGGCACCTGCAGCCTGCTGTTTGCTGCTGCTGTTTGCTGTTTGGCGAGGCGTGTAGAAGACAGCACAGCACAGCAGGGACCGCTGCCTTGCTGCCGGCTGTTATGGGCGAACGAGGAAGACGCAGTAGCTGCTGTTCGCGGCTGTTGCTGCTGCTGTTTTAAGTTTTGGGAGGGCGACGAAACGAGAAGGCGCAAATGAAATGGTCCGCTGATGGGTGGTTGCTGCTGTTGTTCCGGGAGTACAGCAAACACGCAGCTAAAGCTRCTGTCTTGGCGAGGCACAGGCAGCYCAAACACGGCTCATTGTTGCCGCTTGACGAATTGGGAAGCGAGGAAGAAATAGCACAGCAGACTTGCTGTTTGCTGTTAAGGTGGGAAACAGAAATGGTCAAGGTGCCGAGGTTGATATTCTCTGCTTGGAGAAACCGTCAAAGAAGGCAGTCCGGTCGTCCTTTCCACCTTTTCTTTCTTTCTTTTTCTTTCCTCTGCTCTCCCGGTGAAGGGCTTCCTCCTTCCTTATTTTAATTTGCTTTTCTTTTCCCTTCCCTAAGTGCAGACCTTACTTCCTTTTACAAAAGCTCAAGTCCCCTCACAAACCTTATCCAGCAGGTAAGAACCTAAGGTCAAATAGGGAAATTCCTCAATTCAAATGGTCTAAAGTCAATATCACAATTAGGGGTAGTATCAGATTCTAACAATATCTAAACCCTGCAAATCCCAAATTCTAACAAGAAATACAAAATACAAGGAAAACCAGAGGCAGTATCAGAACTACAAGTGATATTATCACTAAAAAGAAAGGCCTAATCAGTTACTACAATTGCATTCAATTACAAATGTTCTATTTTTAGTTTTGCCAGTTTGAGTTGCTAACTCATCATTATCAAAAAAAACCCTAAAGAAAATGACAATGACGTCCATGAAAGTTGATCTGGATGGAACTAATCTTGACTCCATCAAATAAAAGATAATAAAAGATAACAAATAAAGAGTCCTCTTTCTGGGTTCATGAGCTTTTGCCCAATCTTGACTCCATAAACCCTAATGGGTATTTGAAAATTTTGATTTCTGAGTTGTACATGAATGGTAAAAACAAACCAAATAATTACCTGGAGATGGATTGAACGTTGAAGAAGAYGATGGAAGACAGRTCAGATTTCGAAGAACCTACAAAAAGATTCGAGAACACAGGTCAGATTTCGAAGAAGATTCGAGAACACCCTAAGCTAACAGAACCCTAAACGTTTTCCTRGAAGATTGAAGAAGACGATGGAAGCACGATTGAAGAAAATGACGATCGAATTTGTTTTAGGGATGGCGATGAAATCTGGAACCGATGAAATCGAWAGGGGAGRGTGAGTCGATATCATTATCAAAATCTTGAAATCGATAGGGGAGAGTTTGTTGGATTCGATTTCATCTCAATCTTAATCTGTTGGAGCCGATGAAAGAGTTAAAGAAGTTGGGTTTAGGGCCGATGAAAGTGTTAAGAAGTTGGGTTTAAGGGATGGCTTTAATGAGTTGTACCATTGGCAATAGAGGTTGTTTTTAAGAGTTTAAGAGATTAAGAGTTTAAGAGTTTTAGCCAAATGCATTATAAGATAGTATAGATATATATATATATATATATATATTTATAAAAAATATTATATATTTTCTTTTCTTTTTTAATATATTTTTTAAAAACGTTACTTTTTCTTAATAATTATTTTTAAGAAATATAT